TAGATTAGTCTATAGAGAAATAGATAGATAGACAGATACATATACTTGTAGACAGATGCATATACGTTTAAACAGACAGTTAAAAAGAAATAATTATGATAATGGCAAAGATAACGATGATAATTAAAATGGTAATAATGACAGCAGTAGAGCACTAAAAATGTTCAAAGGGAGGGGACGCAACTGAACATTTATATTCTTTCTAAATGATTTATGTAACTGTTACTAGCATACAAAGAAAGGCTAATTATTTTTACCCCTGCGTTTGCCTCTCTCTCTCTCTCTCTCTCTCTCTCTCTCTCTCTCTCTCTCTCTCTCTCTCTCTCTCTCTCTTCTCTCTCTTCTCTCTCTCTCTCTTTCTCTCTCTCTCTCTTTCTCTCTCTCTCTCTCTCTCTCTCTCTCTCTCTCTCTCTCTCTCTCTCTCTCTCTCTCTCTCTCTCTCTCTTCTCTCTCTCTTTCTCTCTCTCTCTCTCTCTCTCTCTCTCTCTCTCTCTCTCTCTCTCTCTCTCTCTCTCTCTCTCTCTCTCTCTCTCTCTCTCTCTCTCTCTCTCTCTCTTCCCCCCCCCCCAACTCCATTTCCCTCACACTCGTTCTTTCTTAAAAAGATAAATGAAGAGATCTATCAATTGTACCCCATTTCCCGCACAATATGAACCAATGATTTTGATGTGGCTGTAATAACCTGGTATAACTCTTTCGATGAATATGCATTTCCAAATTTGGTTATCAAATACATGTATGTAGGCGAGGGTGTAGAGCGGAGTACCTGAGTTCAAGTTGGCTTTGACGTCCTGTTCATCCACTTAGTGCTGTTCCTTTGAACTCCTTTAACAGCACTTGTCAATGGCTCAGAATCAAATTTAATAGCACTCGGTCTCTCTTCTCCATTTATGGTCAACTCTCTCTACTGGATACTGCCTTTCAGACTGTATATTAATGATCCGTCCATTCACCCATACTATGTAAGTGTTCAGGGACTTTGTACTTGTTCGGTTGTTCGCCTTTTTGTCACTAAATGTATTCCGGCCGCTCCAATTTGGTAATTAATTTTGCAAATCTTTTAAGACCCGGATCCCCTCTGCTCGCTACTGTTAGAGGTTTACTTAATCAGCTGCAGTGTTTGTTTTCAATTAATCTAGAGGCCGTAGGTACAGTGGCTCACCTTCTCAAAATGACTAGAACATTTTGGAGGTTCTGTTTCCTTCCTGACTGAAGCTAAGTTCTACCTCGTTTGAAATGGACAAAGGTGAGAACAGACACTAATCGACAAGAGCGTTGTCACTGTGATTTTAAATGACAGTAGTTATTCATATGGATATGAGACGTTAGGAGTTAAGTTATGTGGTGATTATAAATGTCAGTAGTGTGTGTTTGTATATATGCTGTGTTGCATATTTACTGCAGGTGTCTTTCAGGTGCAGTTTTCTTTTTCTACACAACTGCATAAAACCTGATGCAATGGCCCTGGCTTTCTCTCGCACTCGCCATGTTTTTCATACAACTCTTATTTCAAAGTTTATAGCATAGTTTGGGTCCCAAAAAGCTTTATAAGCACCATGAAAAAGTTAGAGATACTTTTTCCTCGTTTAGGTGTTAGGGGAATAGGAAAGAAAGAAAAAAAAAGGTGGCAGAACTTTTTCATTCATTTTGGAAACACATGTGGACTGCAATCCTCAAAATTTCTTTCGGCTGCAACAACGAACATTTTTTTTCTTTAGACGAGAAAGAGAGAGGGAGACAGGGGGGAGGGGGGAAGAGAGAGAGAGGAAGAGCAGGAGAGGGAAAGAGGGAGAAGGATAGAAGGAGAGGGAAAGAAAGAGAGGAAAATGAGAGAGAAAGAACAGAAGGAAAGAGAGAGACGGAGCGTGAGAGAGAGCGCGAGAGAGAGGGAGGGCGAGAGCGTGAGCGAGAAAGGGAGAGAGAGAGGGGAAAAGAGGAAGATAGATAGAAAGAGAGAAAATGAAGAGAAAGAAAGAAAGAGAGGAAGAGGAAGAGAGAGAGAGGGAGGGAAAGCTAGGGAGAGAAAGAGAGGGAGAAAAAGAGAGAGAAGGAAAGGGAGGGAGAGAAAGAGAGGGAGAGAAACAGAAACAGAAAGAGGGGGAGAGATAGCTAGAGAGAGTGCGAGAGAGAAGATTTAATACTGATAATGAAAAATGAAGTGACTTGTTTTTCCATCCCGATGTTGCAACCACTGTCCTTGTAATTATTACTGATTAAACTTAATTACTTCAACAAAAGTCTCGTGGTTAAAGATAAAATGATTATAAAAACACGCAAGAAAACTTTTGAAACAGGAGTAACAAATAATACTAATAACAGAATAACATCAGCAAAGGCAACAATAGCAACAAACAAAAACAAAAAACACAAAAAATAAAAACAACACAAAGTAAAAGGTGACGAAATCGTCTCTCTCTCTATCGCTCTCCCTCCCCCCTACCTCTCCCTCTCCCTTTCCCTCCCCTCTCTCCCTTTCACTTACTTCTCCCTTTCACTCTCC